GCGCCGATCAAAATCATCCGACAGCATTCTTGCTGCGAGCTCCTCGGTATCATGAAGCTTGTTGTTGCACACCGGGCACTGCCACGCTGGCTCGTCAGTGCGGATGTCGTCCATGCACCTCGTGGGGGCAATGCATGATAGCCAATCCAACAAGGAGGGGTCAACCCAAAGACCGAATTTACCACTGGGGCTGCTGTTGGGAGTACCTTTTGGGGCTTTCTGAAAGGGAAGCAGCGCCCTTTTGAAACCTACCAAAAAGGAGCAATTCACATGAAATGTGGCAAGTGCCGTCTTGGCCCCCAAAGAGGGGAAATACTTGCAGTCTGCGTGGGTTGGCCAAAAGAGACTGAACCTTCTATTCACCACTAAAATGGTCTTCCCCAAAAGTGACTAAGGAAGTCGGGGACTGAGAATACGAAAGGGATTTCCGGAACACTTCAGATCGTTCGTCTGGAATGGTTGTCCCGGATTGCAAGCCGTTGATAGCACACCCCGCTTCTTGCTGCTTCTCTGCGTTGCAATCACGGGGGGTTTGGGAATGAAGCTAGGGATTACCTGCCAGGGATGGTTTCTGGGGGGGATCATTCCGCGTTAAACAACATCAAGTGAACAGCTGAAAGGACCCGGGGTGCAAAGGCCCCCGATTTTTTTGGCTTGACGAACCAAAACCCTGGGGGGCCACTGGTCCGAAGCGATTCGGATCGGCATCCCTCGCTTTTGTCCGCGGGTCGGGCCCAGCGATTCATCTTCCCGGGCAATGCGCCGTGCGCCCAGGGGCTTTACAGGAAGCCTTCGGTTCAATCACGACACGAATCTGAAGCCTCCCCAAATTTCCAATGCCTTGCCGCTGTTTGTTTAAACTTAGCTTACTTGCGCTCGCGCCCCCTGGACGCCATCCTGTCATATGGTGAATTTGGCGCGATCGAGCCGGATGGGTCGATCGAGTCGGCGAGCACCGCTCAGGCAAAACGCGACGAGCTGTGCTCAACCATGGCCACAGCCCGTGTCCAATCAACCGATCTTGGTACCCTCCTTGCAGAACCGTAGGTCTGAAAGGCTCCCGATCTTTATAATCAAACTTGGATCAACCGTACTTCGTTGACGTTGGAAGGGGAGCAAGAGTTTAAACTTTAGCAGTTCAGTGGGGATGTCCCACTAAACCACCATAAGCAAAAATGTAAAATGTTTCCCAACAACAACCATGCGTAGGTCTGAAAGGCTCCCTCTTTAAAATCAAACTTGGATCTGCCCGGTGCTCCTTACCTCCCTTCCACCGACCAGGTAGCAATGTAAACCTAGAATTGAAGAGGCAGGCTACCTGCTACGGGCAATTGGCCTGGAGAAGTTGTCCAGTCTTATGGCCCCTGATGCTACAGAAAACGAAGGATGAACGGTGCATCGCCAAACGCCAAATGAGTCATAATCAAAACCCGGTACTAAAATGGTCGACCCAGAACCATGTAATTTCTTTTCATTTATTTATAAGGCTGCAGCTATTTCTGCCAAGGGGATTGTCCCTTACCAACCTTCATCAATCCCCGGGTGTTGAGCAAGTGGCTCAAATGAACACGGGCCGTGACCTTCCACCACAAAACTGAAGCCCGGACTTGGCGTCTTCTCTCTTTCGAGACTCGCCTCCTCTCCCAGCTCGGGTCGGAGGGCCTTCTCTCGCCGTCTCATCGGCCATGGATTTGTGTCACCTTTCCATGAACGGCACGTTGACTAGGTCCTCCAGTAGGGAGGTTAGAATAAGTTGGTACATGTTTTTCTGTAGTCTATTTTAGTTACGGGAACCCTCCCAACCAAAAACTGGGTAAACGGGCATTAATGGGGGACCTAGTTGAACACACTCCTAAGCGAAACTCGTTTAAGGGACTCCCCAAGTGGTTTTCCTCGTGGTTTCCCTTTCACACCACAAAAAAAGAGAGGACGTTGAACAACAAACACACCCACATCTGCAACGTGGCAAGCCCGCAAGCCCATGAAGAATCCATCCAAGCGTGTGAGGAACGGCTTCCTAGCCGTGAGCAAAGAACAATTGACGCGCAGTGGGATGCCGTATGTTCAACCAACAGTGCTGCATGCACAGAAATACGCACATTCTCGCCTACCAAACGCAGGGAGTACTTGCTCAAATGCCCAGTGGCCATAGGAAAAATGGGCATCCTTTATTCGTTGGTTGACTTTAAAGGGGAGCCCTTCCCGAAAAAAAGTTGAAAAAGGGGCGAAACCAACTGGGCAACTGGGCTTATGAGCTGTTGTTGTTTGCTCCACGTGGAGTCGCTAGTAAAATGAAAAAATGTATCCTAAGCCTACCCCAGTCAAGTAAAGGCTGCCTTCCTTTGCGACGCCGGTGGCCCTCCGACGACTTGTGCCGTTGCCACCCGCACCGCTCGGCCTTTGAGGGCCCAAAGGAAGGAGGAAGCTTTGGATCACCCAGTGTGGTAGTTGGCTTTAAAGGAGTTTGCCCCTCCAAAAAGTCGAAAGGCACCAACACCCACTAAGAATCGATACAATTCGTCACATGCATGCAAGGAATCCGCCTGAGGATCCAAAATCCTTCGTGCTGCAAGTATACCCAATCTATCCGAGTTGCCCAGTGACCTTGGTAGCAAAAGGAACTCACTTCCTGAGTGGGTTGGCCAGAAAAGTCCACACTTTTTGTTTACCACCTATTTGTTTCTTCCCAAACAGTGTACAAAGTCTAGGAATTCGGGGAGTGAGTGGTAGCACAAGGAAGCCTTGTGTTTTGGGGGTTCCTTGGCTACATTTGTAGAGACCCACAAAGTTGACTTGTTGCAGAATGGGTAAATGAAGGAAACCCAAAGTGCAAAAGGGCAAATGGAAGTTCATCCGAAAGGATTTGGGTGCGTCTCTTTCCCACATAAGAAGCTTGGTTGTCCTGGTCCCCTTCGAAAACCATAAAAACACCAAAACCGGCATCCTCCACAAAAAAGGGGCCACTCATTTAGCTGTCGAACCCCTTCACCCTTGCTCCCTGCCCCGGGTGGGCAGGGCACTTTCCCTCTGGCAAGCTCGGGCCGGGCGCGGTGCGAAGGAGCAAACGGCAATGACATGGATTTTGAGGGTGAAACTTGCAGCCTGGATAGCGAGAAACCTCCAAATGCGCTGACTGAAGTCCCGGGAAGATGTTAGGTGCATAAATGCGACAAGGGAGCATAATCAATCATTCTGAAGCACATGGACATACCATGATTCAACTAATCATAATCTAGATAGATTTCGAGATATGTTCTTCTCAGTGGGATTTTCAGAGAATTGTGCTTGCTTTGTGTGTCCAAATGCCAGTCACCTGCTATTCAAAACGCTGAAAAACAGTCTAAAAAAGCTGCCCTCTCCAGCGAAGGTGCCATCAAACTCCGTTTCCAGTCAGAAAACTTGAATCAAGCGCGGGTTAGACTAACCCCTATAGAATGCCTCAGTGTCGGAGCTAACAATAGAGGAAGATGAATCCAGTCACGCGCTGCGCTTGCGTGGCTGTTGGGCTTGCCTCTTGCCATTGCCAAGCCCATCTCATACAGCCTGGCCGCATGGATTCAGGTTCAATTTCCTACCGGCGAACGCCAGTGAACAAGACGTCTGCACGTTGACTCAACTTCTTGGGGTCCCTCACTTGGGTGTCCCATGGTAGCCCTCAAGAATCAATCCATCTGGAGTGCCAAGGTAACAGAGGTTCAGAAGCCGACACTTCGCACACGGCGACAGGACCCCCTCCGTTGCCGCTCGTTTGGAAGAGGGCGGAAACGGGGCAAGCTTGAAAGGCGACCAAAGGGTCTTCTCTCGAGCCGTTCCAGCTCCTCACACGTGGGTGTCAACCCTTTGAGGGTGTTGATTCATGTCAGGTGCCAGGACGTTCACCAAAAAAGACTGAAGCACCAGCTCTGTATCAAAGTGCCCCGCACCAACCATGGAAGTGAAGAAATGGCTGTGACGAACTTTGAAAGGCCAGTCAAGTTTCACTATGGTTGCTTGTATCCTGTTGCTTCTAAAAGTCCATGATAAGCATCTAGACAAGTCACCCCTAACGAGGCGACATTTACCCATGAGACATCACTCCAAAGGGAAATCGCTCAACACTGGCCCAAAAGGGGCTGAGATGAACCAACTCGAGTTGAAACACAGGAATCCAGTTGAAGATCCACCCAGATTGGTTCATCAGCATTGAAAACCCGATAGGCTAAGGGTTTTCAGCCCTGGGTTAAAAACCAAAGGGGAACTTCTGGGGAACCTTGCTCATGGCCATTCACCCCTGCCTTCCTCTCCTCAGTCCTCAGCGCCTGCGTAGGGGCCGGATGTGGCTGACTCTTTCAGAACCTCGAGGGAACGGACAACAAAGAACACAGATAGCGATCCACGGAACCCATACCATCAAGCAACTCGGTGTGTGAAGGTTCATGGCTTGAAGCTGCAGTCCTCATGTTTCTGGTGCGGCCTTCTGATAGGATCACTTGCACGCCCTGTGCAAAACAACCAAAGAAAACACTTCTCACCACAAGGCTCATGTAAGCCCCCAAGCAATGCTTGCACTCAGAGAGCAAGTAGGAAAAAACAGGTAGAGAAAGGGACCCCTTTTGGGTTGAGCAGTGTAGCGGGGACCCACCAAACAAGTGCAGCGGCTGTGCGCACCTCTCTGGTTGGTTTACTTGGCATGTCTTAGGGAATCAACTTAATACTCACTGACTGTGGCTGGCAGAAATGAATGCTTTCTGATCCTGTTTCATATTCACCCAACAACTTGAACAGTTGTTTTTTGTAGGAGACCTCTTGAGACGTCTCGGTCACAGAAGATGCAGCTGTCGCTTGGGCAGCCTGTTGACCCGGCAGAAACAGGGCTCACTGGAACTCCCCCAGTCAAAAGTTGATCAAATAACTGGTGGTTTCCATAAAAACGATCGCCACTTTTGCGACTTTTGAAGGTTCCGGCTCGGAAATGCTGAGAGACTCGAGCACGTTCGAAAGCCAAAGCGCCTGCCTGCAACTTACTTCTTGCCCTTCACCGGCTTCAGAACCTGCGCTTTTGAAGGCTTCCATCGATCAGTTGTTCAGTGACACTGGATTTTTTTGTGTAGCCTATTTTAGTAGGGGAACCCTCCCAAACCAAAAAAGGGGTGACTAAAAGGGCACCTAGCTGGGGGACCTAGTTTTGATTGGTTCCCAGAACCAACTCCAAAAAACACGCGCCGCCCCAACGGAGGCCACTGACTCGTTTCCTCAAGGTGTTTTGGGGGTCGAAAGACCTGTGAGCATCTCCAGCATTAGGCCCCCGCCCCCCCAAAAAACAACAACAGCAACCAAAAACAACAGAAATATGCCTTTCAGCAAACGGAAGGCATGCCCCCCCCCCGAGAAAAAAAAGAGGTTGTTTCGGCTTCCCCCCTTGCAGGGTGGGTGTCCTTTTGGCTTCCCCCTTCGACCACCTGCAAAAAGGGGAGAACACACCCAGACACCCAGACTCACTGGCTCAGTGGATGGCCCAAAAAAAGTCCAAACTTTATATTTACCACTAAAATGGTCTTCCCAAAAAGTTTAAAGTTCATGAACTCAGGAAGTGAGCCCAAGAGACCTGACCAATAGCCATTCCCTGGTACACTCCCTCAGGCCAACGTGGAAGCTCCCTCAATTGGCCGATCCTGTAAATGGAACAAAATCGCCGTCGATTTTTCGAGCAAAACACCCAAAAAGGACACCTATGATCTCAAGCATACCTCGGGTCAACATAATTATGTCAACATTCAAGCCACCAGCACCTGGGTCTCAGCTGCTTTTTGTTTGTTCTCATGTCCGAAGTCCGTGTCCAAAAGGCTGTGATTGAATCCGGGGTCTACCATCATCGTTGATCTGCTGTGCTTGTCGAGTAGAAGGCGTCACCTTTTTTGATGGGCCACCTTTTTTGATGGGCCACCCAAAGCTCACCCTGAAAAAGAGTATGACTCATACCTCCTGAACCCCAACTCTCCAGATTTCAACTCGGAGGCCTTGCTACTCCGGGCATCTCTAGATCCTGACGCACACAAGGCGAGTACTTGTGGGAATCCTCTACTTACAGGCAATGGTGCGCTGCGGAGGGGTCCCACATAGCCAAAATCAGAGGAACTGCTAACAGATTTCGGAGTCAAATCGACTCCATAGAGCTGACACTCAGCGGATAGGCTTCGCCCGAGGGGCCTTGAAGCTGCACATCAGGGTCTCATCAATGCTCATCATCCTCAGCTGCGGAAATCGTGGCATTTGACTCGCCTGGATTGGCGGTTTGGTGGTGAATTGGAAGGTTTTTCATTGACCCTCTTCAAGAGCTAGGCTTCAAATCCAAACCACCAACATCTAAACCACCAATTTAAGTTTACCTGAAAGTCAGGGACTGGACTCTGGTATTACTCAGGTGGCCGGCGAGGTTGACAGGCACCAGGAAGCTAAGGCAAAATGTTCCCAAGAGGGATGCACCCAAATCATCCTAACCCGGCGGCGGCTTGAGCACACCGAGACCGCAATGTGTGCTACCAAACTTGCTCAGGCACAGGGGAATAAGGCCCATAGACTACATATTGTTGTCATCTTAAAACCAACGGCTAGTAGCGAGTGGAGGAGCCCAATACCGCATCCGAATTCGAAACCGAATTCGATAGGGCCATGGGTCAAAATCCCGTACCCCCCAGTGAACATCCCAATCCCCACTAAAATAAAGCCTAAAATGGGCTACCCCAAAATGGGATCCCCTTGGTTTTGACCCACAGCAAAAGAACCCTTCCAAGGTGGGCAAAAGACCGGCGCCTGGCCTTGGGTGCGTCCGAGCGGCGCCCCGGCATTGTCAAACTCGCCGCAGTAGTTCCTTGCGCCAGAACGGTCGACGCACCAAGCAAGGGACCCAACATCTTGTGCTCCGTCATGCTTGTGGGAAATGGGCATGTCTTTTGTTGGGGGGCAAAAAATGGTCGGTGTTCCTTTCGGTTGCCTTTTGAAACCACACAAAAGGCGTTCCTGTTCCCCCAAAAACTGCCCCCTGCGTTGCCTTCCACGGAACAACGGGCCCGAAACGACGCAACCTACCATGAGAGCAAAAAGGCGCCAAGCGTCGGAGCACTGAAGAGCGTGATCAGCTGACGCTTGGCAAAGAACTCGTACCCGTCCTCCACCACCTGGCCAGTTGCGACGCCACGCTGGGCCGATCCCATCTTTTGCAAGGTTTCATCCATCCTAGAGAATGTTGTAGAAAAAGTAAGCCTGAATAGGTGTGATTAGTGATTAGTGCTAGCCTCCAAGTCATATTCAAGCAGAGCTGTTAGATACTCTCAAGAAAGATTCGCCTGCGAAAAGTCTTGGCTTTTGTGGCCCGCTTCCCAGTGGAAAGCTAAGAGGCCTGCAACAAGAATGCGGGAGTGTCGGAGAATCCCCTTGACCCACGAATCAAATGACACAATTTAAGAGGGTGCTTGGGTGTTCAACCAACTTAGTGGGTGATAAGCATGGTTGCAAGGGGATGACCACCCCAGTTACACCGGTTGTAACCATGATTCTACCCTACTTACTAGGTGGGTTGAACGTCCAAGTAGCAGTTGCCCTTCAGCACTGTAAAGGACACCCTGGCACATGTAGCCTCCTGGAAAAGGCTAGCCCCCTACTTAAACAGGGTGCAGCGCAGCGTTCCAATTGGGTGAAGCAGATTCGGAGCTAGCGCATTCATCGGTACTATTCCCGCGATTGCATATTCCAAGCCAACTTCCCTTGACCCTTTGCTTGGCCGAGTAGGCTGTTTTTTCCTTTTCGTAGACGGCTTTGGGGGCTGACTCACCCCAGTATGTTGGCTCTGGGGGCTGTGCCATTGACCCTTTAAACGCCAAATGCCTTGCCCGGCGGCCACGGACATCCTTTGCCAGCAAAAAATGAGAAAATCTATCCAGTAGTGTAATCGGTTCTCTTTAAAACCTAGAAGGGGGAAAAAAAAACATTCCTTGCAGCAAACGGAGGCATCCCCCCAAAAAGAAAAATTAAAAAACACATTTTTGAGAGGAAACACAAAACAAAAACAAAAAAAGAATAAACAACACGAAAAAAATAACCAACACAAAAAAAAAGAATAAACAACACGAAAAAAATAACCCCCCCCAAAAAAAAAAAACACACCAAAATCTCCGGAGTGACTCCGCCGCTCCGTCTCCGTCTCCGGACCTGATGGGCTCGGCACACCAGGTCCATCTCGTGCTTCCTGAGGTTCTCATCGGCAAGGGGAAACCAAGCTGCATGAGACAAAATCCGGGAGGGCAAAATCATGGTGGCTCTATCTTGCCTTGTCTTGGAACAACTGGGTAAATGTGTTTGGTTGTATATATATATATAGATATATATATATATGTATCTATATATAATATTATATATATCTATATATATTAACCCCTTCGATTTGGAGGTGGTAACTTTGAACCGCAGGGTCAAGCTGATTCAGAGCAAGGTGAGCCAACGCAGCCCAGTGCGATTCTTTGCACCTCTGTGAGGGGCAGCGGGAACCAGCGGGAAAAAACCGCGCTAGTAACTATTGCAGCTTCGGGAGCGATTCCTTCCCCCAAAAAAAAATCATGGAAGCTGAGGAACGGGGGTTGGCGATCGACTACTTTCCTCTTGGGAAAACCTACCTGTCCACTTCCCTGATTGTTGGAAAGAGGCTAGGCGAGAAATTCGCGCAGTTTCAGGGGCCTTCCCCTGGCTGCAGTTTCTGGCTATAAATCGGCAGTTGGAAACACCTAGGGCTCTGTCCTCTTTTTGAGTTGGTCCCCCTTTTTTTCTGCGTCAAGAAGAACATCAAAAGGAAAGCCAAAAGCCACTCTGAGTGGTCCCCTAAAAAAAAGGCACGCCCATATTTAATATGGGTGGTTTCCTGAGTTGTGGACTCCATCGGAAGAAAAGCTTGGGTGTTGCAACCTCTTTATGTGAGAACTATCCGTGCAAAGAACCAAAAGTGGGGCCAGGCACGTGCACCTGTGGACCCTGCCAGAAGCTCGCTCCAGCCGGGTGTCTGCAAGAAGCTGATCACCACATCAGGCCCAAAGATGAAGGAAACACCTCGATCGTTCTCAGCCCAGCCGGCAATGTCCTCACGGCAGCAAGCTGGTGCCCCAGTTCCATTTACGCTACGGAAACAATTGCTGCTAGGCCCTCCAATCAGGGTACCAACTTCTTCTGTAGTCTATTTTAGTAGGGGAACCCTCCCAAAAAAAAAGTTGAGAACGGGCACTACTGGGGGACCTAGGCTGCCATTGGGGCCATGCACTTGGCATGCCAGGCAGATCCCCCGGAGAAAAAAAACCGCAGAAATCGGCGGTTTCTGAAGTCGGGCAATTTCGCTCTGCAAAGAAATGGATCTGGGCCACTGGATGGTTTCCCTTTCCACGTCCCGAACCCTAAAACGCGGAAATGTTGACCCCGGATTAATGCACCCTGGTTGATTAGTAGGGGGGGGGTCCCCTCTTAGTGAGTTTATTAATCCAACATTAGCCATAGTGGGGATGAACTCCCCCTCAATAATAGGACAGGTTTATTCATCCGGGGCCAACATTAGCATCATGTTGTTCACTGTCCCTCTCCCTCGGCGTCCTTGTCCGGGTCTGCCCACAAAAGATCGCAAATCAGCCCGGTGTCTGGTACGTCTGTAGGCCTAGCGGCTCCGATCAGGTCCTGGTGATGGGTTCCTTTTGGTCTCCCATCCAAAAAGAAGCCGCCTCTTTGAGAAACACCAAAACTTATACTTGAAACATAACCCCAAAGCAAATTCACTTGACGTGGCCCCCAAAGGTGACGTGCAAACCGTGAGGATCGTCCTAGGAAAAAAAGAACAACTAAACAAACAACAGGAAGCCGTGCGGATGGACTAAACTCATGCAAGGGCAGACACCAGTTAGGATTGACGGTCTACGGGATAAACCACCTGATTGGTGAGAAAAGCATTTTGTCCATCATACCGGCATGGCTCAAAATTAAGCCACCAAACAACCGCGGCTTCTGGTCCATGTTTCCATTTACCAAGGCAACCCAGTTTGGGGGTAACCCTTTTGACAACCACAACCATATGTCTTGTCATGGCCTGTCTGTCCCGCCTCACCACTTTCTTGATGGCATCTGTGCTGGTAATCTCCGGAGACAGCCCACCTCCGCCGCATGGCACGCTCTTGCGAGAAAAAAAGACTGGAATCCAGACAGGCCCAAACATAGGTGTCCTTTTTGGAAAATAGATGGGTTTCCTGGTAGATGATTGAACCACCAAATCAAAACCAGAGTTTTCTATTGTTTAACTCACTTGCCCAAAGGACCTGGGAATAAAAGGTTAACCTTTTGGGACCTCTACTAAAAAATGGTCCAAAAATGGAAAACCAAAAGATCAAAAGGTCGATTCGCTTTGAACAACTGAGGTACGCAAAACAACCAAAAAGGAACCCAGACGGGCCCAACACATGGCATACCGAGCCAAAGGCCAAGGAAAGCCACGCCTACCATAACTTGAGACAAGACATCCAGAACTCGCTGAGCGGATTGGCCAAAAGCTCTGTACCTTTTCTAGGTCCTCCGGTAGAGAGGTGAGAAGAAGGGTACCGTTTCTTTTTTCTGTAGTCTATTTTAGTAGGGAAACCCTCCCAACCCAAAAAAGGGGTAAAAGGGCACTACTGGGGGCCCTAGTTTTGCTTACCACTACTTCGCCACTAAGTTTGGTCTTCCCAAACAATGACTAAAGCCCAACCACCCAGAGAGAGAGAGAGAGAGAGACAAAGAAATCTGTCTAAGTCCCCTTGCTAAAAACCAGATTTGCGGGCCATTGGGATGCCGATATCCTGGAGATGCGATTGAGGTGCTGCACATCCACCGATCCATAGATGATGTGTTTCAGGCAACATGATTCAAGGCGACCGAAGGTGGCTCAACGGTCCGAACTGGGGTTCCATGTGCGCATTGCTAGATGAAATCGCAGGCCGGAGCTTTGCAACACATGCTCCTGGCAAAACCTGGTCACAGCAAAGAACGTTGGCAGAGCTTGGAAAAACCTCTATCGGCCTAAAGGCCGCCCCAAGGACCCGTGTGAGCGAGCCCTTGCTGCCGACCCGAATTGGAGGAAATCCCTCGAAGCAAACTTCAGGCCTGAATCTTTCCCTCAAAATGGGTGGTTTGGAGCCAAGTGGTTTAGTGGCTAAGGGGCGGCTTTCAATTCCCAAGAGCCACAAGTCCAAACCTCCAATTGAGACATAATAAAAACCCGTTATCACAGCGGTCTACCCAGAACCACGTAAAGAAATACAAAGGCAACTACACCCATTCACGGTTGGGGCTATCATCCCTTCCCAACCTCCATCGTCCCGGGTTTTCCTTGTGGCTCAACTGAGGGTTAGCTTGGGTTGCAAACACCGCTTGCCCCACATTGGCCAAGCAGCCATGCATGCAAATGATCTTCTCGTCGATGATGGCGCACACGGGCATGCAGTTGAATACGTCGCAAAACTGCTTCCAGAGCCTTAGCCACGCAACCTGGCCCCAGCCCGAGATGGGTGTGTCGGAAAACAGGGGGCACCAAACATGGAAAGAATCCTTTTGCTTCAGGAAAACCACTCCAAAACGGGTGCCTGCGAAAGAAAAACACAAAAAACATGAGGCTGAAGCTGTGTATTGCCCAGTGGTGGTGTGTGTGGTAGGGATTTCAAGCCCGGAACACCAAACCACAAACCGAAATCACCCAGAACCGAACAGCTTTTTAAAGAACCCCCCCAAAGACGGTGGTGTTTCTTTTGGTTTAAATCTGCCTAGTGTTTCAAAGGACACCCCTCACCCCCAAGAAAAACAACATGAACAAAAAATGGAGAAGCAAGCCTAACCTTTCGATGTGCCAACCTAAGAGCAATCGCTTGCCAACGCCCACTGTCAAGCCAAACATGTTGACCAAGAGAGAAAAGCCGGAAGGTCAAACATTTTGGCTTCGGGCAGGTGAGCTCAGCTGCCCAGTGGTTGACTTTTGTTGTTGGTTGACTTTAAAGGAATCGGACCCCTTCCCCAAAAAAAAAGTCGAAAAGCGCACCACTGGGCAACCGAGTGAGTGTCGGAAAAATCACCCTTTCCGTGATATCAGCGAGGTTGCTTCGCATGACGACATTTTGTGACTTTCACGGACATTTCCTGGGTAGCAAAGAAAAACCCTCCCGCGAAGATCCACTGGGCGCGGCATCTTCATCAGATCTCAGCTCAGGTGCTTGATGTTGTACCGCCGCTTGCATTCATCATAAAAGCCTCAGGCACTGGCAAGGTCAAAGAGATCCGCAACATTGGAGATTATCTGTGAGCTTGGCTGCTGGAACGACCCCTCAATCACTTCCGGGTCTAATGGCAAATTCGACCTCTTTCCGAAAAAGTCCAAAGATCCGTCACCAAATAGCCAATAAGTAAGTAACAATCAGTTAGGAAACCTAATCAACTCTCGTTTGGGGGGTTCCATGTCCTACGTGTTTGTCAAGCACTATGTCCCTCGCCGAAAGAATAGGTTTTGATGAGCTTAAGCCTTACCCGGTGGCTAGGTGCAAACTTGTTTGGTCGCACCACCATGAGCTGTGTGTAAGTTCCATTCATTGGATAAGGGCACATGTGTCTGCGTTTTTTGAGGGTACCCATGCTTTTCGCGGTTTTAAAGTGACACCATAAAAGGACAACCACCATTTTGGCGTGACCCCGAAAAAAGGCACACCCTGTCAGTCATGTTTGTAGCAAGTGGTCACAGTGAAGCCCAAGAATCGTCGGGTCCGGCAGGCTTTAGATTCTATGCATCAGTAGCCTGCCGAAAATGCCGTCCGCCATTGAAACAAACAAACCTGGGCCCACATATGCAGATGTCTATGCACTATACGAGTATATACGCATCTGATAAAGATGAGTAGAGTGGTCTTGATTGACGTTGTGTTTTTTGGAATTCCTTGACACTCTTTACAAAGCGGAACGACAAGCACGTCTTGCTCTGATATGTTCCGCGCGAGCGGAATAAAAGGGTCAGACCTCGCAGCACAACTCCAACACAGCCGATAGATGTGCTCGATATGTTCGCAACTTTTGGCTTGGACTGTGTGAGACTGCCAGGATGTGAAATTGCAAGAATAGCAACTTGCTTCAGCTCAAAAACATGTTCTGATGTAACCATGCACTTGACGGGTGGCTTTTCTGCGCATGTCTCTGACCCAATTCAGACACTAGTCAAGTGAAATGCCATGCCAGCACGTGAACGACAGCCAAACTCCTTCTTGTCCCAAAGCGGCTGAAGTTTTTTGTCTCTTGGAGGTGCGGGGTTTATGATGCATCTCCAAGAGCAAATCTAATAGTTCAAACCCTCCAATCTAGAAAGGATCCTCAAGCAACAGACCCTTTGCCAAACTACCACCTGCCAGTCCCCATGCCGGACTGGAAATTAGCATTGTGGGGCAGATGCGGGCGTATGCAAAAACACGCCTGCTCTCCCTTTTTTTTAAGCCAGGCGGACCATAGATGCGGGTGATGGAGGCACACTCGTGGTTCCCGCGGAGCAGGAAGAAGTTCTCCGGGAACTTTGTCTGAGCGGGGCGGGAGGCCAAAATGTCGACTGGCGTCGAGCATCGTCGATCGTCGAGCCATTGGCTAGTACAGCCTGAACATTTCCCTGTGAGGCCTCATGACCCTGACTGAAATTGATTTGCTTCCAGATTGCGCGCAAAGGGGTTGGACCTGGATTCTTCAACCTGCGATGAAGTGAACGAAAACATGAGCGGCATCCAATAGCTGATACAAACCCCGAAATACAACCTGAATTCATTGCGAAGCCGTGTCAACACCGGCATATATGCAATGTTCATGTGGTAGCAGTCATTTCAACACTCAACAACCCAAGGTTTTTGGGCTTATATGGGGTCCCCACACCCCATTGCTGAGCCAAAAGGCCTGGCAATAGCAGGAGGTGGAAGGTGGACAGTGACAAAATGTCGACCACATTTTGAACCAGGAGGCAAACGAGTGTCAATGATGCCCTCATCCTTTCAACCGCCAAGCTGCGGCAACCGAACGGATAAAACCAGGCGTGCAAGCCATACAACTCAAGAACTCCCAGGAAAAAACAAAAGAAAAAAGAAAAAAACACGCGGAGGAAGCAACACAAAATAGCTGGGCATCCATCATCTGTCTTCATAATTTACCAACTGTGCCAGGGGGGTTCTTGTATTTGGCTTGGGTCATCTTGGATCTCTTTTGCGTACACACCCTTCGCAACTCCGAACCATGCTTAGGACGACCCTGCATGGGCTCTAAGAAACAGGTTTCAGCTTGCACCAAAGTGCAGTCATGACTGTGCTGTGCAGCATCATTTGGCTGTGGCTCAAAAAAAAAAAAAAACGGTATTCCACAATGGGTTGCCCGATCGGTAAGTGGAAACATGGTTGCCAAAATTTCTGCGGTTTGCCAAAAACCTCCGATCGCATTTTGATTGCCACACCCATTGGTCAGAAAACGCATTGGTCACCCAAAAACCGCGGGGCATGGGCCCCAACTTGAGAAGTCACAAACCCGAGAACCTCAGCAGATTTCTGCCACTCCAACCGTCATGTGGACCTTTGACTAATAACGTACCAATTCAGTGCTCAGGAGGAAGCCCCCCCCAAAAAAAAAAAACAAACACAAATGTCTCAAAAAAAAACGAGTTGTCTCAAAAATGTCCCAAAACAGGTGAAATAGACTATTTGAAATAAAGGTGTCCCAAAACTGTCTCAACAAAAACAACAGCAGGTCGGGGTCAAATAGTTGGTTCAGCCCCGTGATGTCTCAAGCCAACTGCCCCCCGCTGGCTCTTTTGCGCTTGCGCTCGCGCGCCTTGTAGGCGAAGAGCAGAGTGATGGTCTCCAGGCTCTGCTTGCCACGGTCCACATAGTCTCCGAGGAAGAGGTAGTTGCTCTCCTAAAGTCTTGAGCCAGCTGATTGGTATCCAAATCACTTCCGACGCTTGCCATGGGCTTGCAAAAAACTCATGGTTTTTGCAGCCTCCCAAAGATGAGCAGAACCAACAAAAGCAAAACACATGACAACAACTCTGAAGTTTCAACTTTCCCCCTTTACTTTACGTACTTTTCCTTCTGGCCTTTCAACCAATTTCCCATACTGCTTGGCAATGCACAGGATCTGCTTCGCTGCCGCTGCAATTTGTGTAAGTCCACAAGCGGTTGGCGCTATCCTGGGCAACCCAGGTGCCTTCCCAAGGCGGTTTGGCCCTTTGGACCTTTGGGAGGCCATGGCCGCGAGGGGCGTTCTGGCGAAGCCTGGCACAGGCGACGCGAGGCTGCGTTGCAAAGGCAGCCTTAGGCTGGATTCGCCGTCCGCGGTCTTTATGCCCGGTTGCGCACACCCTTAGGGCATCCCCGGTTGCGCATGCTCGGGGTGCGCTGTGAGGTTGCACTGGAGGTCGACCCTGGATGCCATGACCGCTTCGGGCCCAAAGCATTTGGCTGAAGTTTCATGGACCCATCGGCTCCACACCGCCGGATCCGCCGGGCATCTTGGATCGAACTATTAGTGGGGGTCGTTTCACTTTGGAAAACAACAACGACACGCCAGTGCTTCCCTCAAAGCTGGAGTTGTCACCTGGCATTTCTTGGCTGGGTTGAGAGCGGGGGGGCGGGGTTGACACACACACACACACACACTGTTTTCCTGGCCGCATAGCAAACCTGTGCCGGCCACCCGAGGATCTTGGCTCACCAAATGCAATGGAACTCGTGTTTTTTTTGATCCATGGCTTTCTCTCCAAATGATGGTTTCCCCTCTTGCGAACTCAAAGGAAAGCGAAAGCCAAAAGGGCAAATATATGTTGACAACTGAAGTGCTCTTGAACAGTCACCGAAAGGACAAGTACGCGCAGAAGTCTTCAGCAGTCTCTCGCGCGGGAGTTCTTTCTGCCAAGATCTCGCCCTTTTGGTCGCCCTTTTACACGGGCAACTTCCAAACATGGGACGTTGACCCCATGGTGGGGGAAAGTCAGTGTATAGTCGGTGTATCATTGACCCTTTCACTTGGCCTGGGACCTGCCACCTTTCGGGACATCTATAACTAAACTTGTTCTCCCCAGGCAAGCTGTAGCAATCTTTAGCAGGCGTCGTAAGCCGGGCAAACTTGCTTTGGAGTACTTGTTTGGTGGTTTCACAGGGAAACCAAGGGGAAAACAACCAGTTTGGGGTCCCTTATTTTGACACATACTCATTTAACATGCAACACATGCAGAACATGCCGGGGGGGGGAGGGGGGGACATTTCCATGCCAGGTATTCTGAGAAGAAAAAAAAGCAAAGCGGCGAACGTTGGTCAAATGTTTCGCAAGCCTAGCTGAAAGGCTCTACACAAGGTTGCATGGGGACTAGCTGGGGTGCAATTAGTCGGCGGTTCTTGACTCCCGGACCAGTTAAGTATGTTGTAGTTGGATACTGAACATGCCGAGGCCACGCAAGGGAGCAAGTCGCCCACTTCCCTCCCACTTCTACTGGGTCCATTAACCTGACATCCTCAAGAGTAGACTGCCTGTTTCACTGCCCAGTGCTTCAACCAAACCGAAACCAGCGGAGTCCATCTATTTTCGCCCAAACCGAGCAACACTTGTAACTCAGGGTGAGAGCAGATGGCACGACTCCCTTAGGTCGGGAACAAATATTTGAAGAGAAGCCCTTGTGCCGCCGGGCCCTGGTTTCATTGCTGGCCAGCTTCCGGAGGGAAGCCACCGTACTCAAAGAGCCGCAGCAAGTCGTGATACTGACCGTGCACGTCGCCACCTCAAGACGCTTTCCTTGCTTCGATAGAGTCAGGGAATGAGTTCGAATGATCCCTATGACTCATTGCCTGGCTTGCTTTCAGGGCAACCCTAGGTTCATTCTCAACACCCTGAGTCATTCCCCAGTGAGCACCAGCAAGTTGTGGCTTGCACGTGATTCTCCGAATTCTAAACAGGGGAGAATGGAACTCGGGAAAATCGCACATTCTATCAAATTTAGAGCCAAGTTTCCCTTTCTGATTATGAACCTGGAAACTAGCAAAGGGGCTTCCCAACACAAACAAAGGGACGGGAGGCCCCCTATTTCATTAAATGTAGGCTCATTAATCTATTGCATTGCCGCCCAGGTTCCCTAAACCCTAAGCTTCACCCAGACAGCTCCCGTTTAATTACCCACCCCCCAGTTGCATATATCCCACAAAGGGGGGGAGGGGATGCTAACCTACTAACCCCGTAAGGCTTTAGATTGGCTGATCCTATGCTTCTCCAAGGATGGCCCCACCCCCTATCATAGCGATACTATCGCGATTTTGCCGTACTTTTTGCAGGATCTATACGTTCTATGGCAGTGGCCACAATGTAAAGCGTCATAGGATGTTGCATTCATGGGCCCGGCGGGGGCCCGGGGGGTGGGGGACTTGGAGCCTATTTGCAGCCACCTTCCTTGGGCCGGGTTTTAGCGGGTTGAGTCCCCAGTGAGGGCCTCATGGTGTCCAAAATGGATTTTGGCGTTCCTTCAAACACCCAAGGGCTCCTTCAAAAGCGCACACCCTAGATGTCAACCCTTCAACTCACCTGCCCCAATTTGACCTGGACATAAAAGGTGATCAACTTTTGGGACCTCTACTGAAAAAATGGACCAAGCAATTGGAAAACCGAAAGGTCAGATCCGGTCGATTCGCTTTGAACCACTGAGTTAAACCAACCAGAACTTCACTCGGCTTCCCCTTCAAAAGTTGATCAATTCACCCGTGGTTTCACTTTTGGCGGTTCCACAAGGAAGAAAAAACGGCCCTGCTCCCTCGCAAAAAACACGGAAACAGCTGGAATTCTGCCTAAAACGGGGTTCCCTCGTTTTGAAAACAACGCGCAAAAAACAAAATGGAAAACAAGCAAAGAAACAAAACGTCACGGCAGCGAGCGCCATGCCCGGTTTGAGGTCTCCGACAGATCTTCAGGGGCGCCTCAAGCTCCAGCAAGGCCTCGGGCGCAGGAATCTGGGTCGCGGTCCGCTTGGTTCAGGTGTCCCCTGCAACCGCTGGTTTGAAGCCCGGGATGGTTTGGAGGTTGGGGGGGGGCTGGGGGGGTTCTCATGCGCATTGCTGGTTTGAAGCCCGGGACCGGTTTGGAGCTCGGTGGTTTCAACCTGAAGGAACACCAAATGGGAATCTGCGCGGGTTTGGAGCCCGGGTTGAAAAAGAATATCCCAGAAGGTCCAAAAAAAAAACCGAACCTCACCTGACCCGTTGGCTTGAAGCCCACGGTGGCTTGGAGCTTGGTGGGTTCCCATGTACCCTATACAAGAACCTTATCTTCCCCTGGTGCTTTGAACCTCATAATTTTTTTGGCACCAAATGGGCACATCCCAGAACCTCCAAACCACCAGATCTTCACCTCACCCTCTGCCGGGGGTTGACAGGGAGCTGGGCTTCAAACCCCAAACCAACAAAGGGTTGCCGGACATGTGCTATCCCCTGGACAATTTATGGGTGTGGATCCCGAAATTCAAGACCTAGCGTTACGCCGGTGTCAACTTGTTTCCATTTACCAAGGTGCCATGTTGGGCACCATGTTTGAGCCACATGTCCAGTACCTGAAAGCCAAGGAAACATAAGACATAGTCTTTAGCAACTGTTCACCTGTGGTGCCTTCCCATGTGTTTCTGTTCTTGGCGCTGAGGTTTGGTACAAAAAGAGAGCCAAACTTCAGCTTCTCTAATAGGTAGTTTGGGAGCCTAGTGGTTTGGAGCCGGGCTGGTTCACATTTGCCTACCAGAAAACCAGTTTCAATCCCCGATCAACCGATCAGCCGATCAACCGATCAAGCTGACCCCATGGCCAGGCTCAAAGAAAACACCCAACATGTGGCTTCCTCCCATCGCGCAAAGCGACCGACCGGACCTTTGCCTAGGTCCTCCAGGTCTGAGGTTCGAAGAAGGGTACCCTTTTCTCTACGTGAGTCGGGGAACCCTCCCCAAGAAAGGGGTGAGAAAGGGCACTAGTGTTGACCCAGGATTAATGAACCCGTCCCATTGTTAGGGGGTGTTCCCTCCAAAAGTGATGAATCCCCACTAAAAGGGGACACCCCCCTATTGATCAACCAGGGGTTTATTAATCTGGGGTTAACATTACTGGGGCACCTAGTTGCCCGTCCCTTTGGTCGTCCGGGCGGCGTTTTGCTCCAGGAAGACGGAGCGGACCCCGCTGCAAAGGCTCTTCAACTGCGCCTCCGGGATGTTCACCAACTTCCCTGGCTTGCCTCCCGAGGAATTCTTCACCCGAACGGCCGAAGACCTTTACCGCTGTTCAACAGGGGCCCGAAAAGGAAAGTCTTTGCAATGGACCTGGATTCTCTTCCCACGATGCCAATTGTATCAGTGGTGTCTCCTCCTAATCCGAAAATACCGCAACACAATCCGATGGTCTGATCCCTTTGCAAATTTCAGCAGCATGCGACTGCGGAAATGCCCCGAGTTGGGGTTTGCCTTGGCCTTCATCCCTTTAGTTTAACTATTCTTCTTCCCACAACCCCAAAAACCTCTAGAGTTACCTTCTCATTTGCCCCTATCGCACTCAGAAATGGATCATCTTTCGGAACGTCGAAAATGCATCGATTTTGGCACACCACGAGGTCAATAGGGGACCTCAGTGTCCCAAAAGGCCGGGCGAGACACACTGACACAATATGAGTGGCATAGCTAAAATGAACGTCCCTAAAAAGTATAGGCTGATGTTCGGCTTCTATAGAAGCTGCATGCAGTGCTTCTGATTCAACTTGTTCACCGCGTCTTGCTGCCAATTTAGTGCTAGTGGTCCGCAATCAAGTTGGCTCAGACTGGCAAGTTGGTACTTGGCGCCGGGCCACTCAAGTCTCCGAACTGCCACGCTGACTGCGAAGAAAGGCGGCTTCAACGGTTCAAAGCGCAAAGGATCAGTAAATTAATACATGCCTTCTAGGTACAAGGGCTGCGTTTCCGGTCGTTCCCTTCAGAGCGGCCTCCTTTCACTTCCAAGCACTTCTCCACGATCTCCTTGGTGAAGCGAAAGGCGCTCACATGTTGGCTGGCTCAATGCGAGCTAGAAGGGCAACCCCGCTCAATGTGTCCCAACATGTCCCCCATGCGAGCAAAACAAGCACGGATTTGCGCAGAGCTTCCTCCCGCCCTCTAAACACTCACATGAGCCCCTGATGTTACCAAAGGAGGGGGTATAAAAGTCCAAGCCGAGGAGATGTTCCCAGGGCATGCTCCCAACACGTGCCCCAAACACGCGGAAAGGAACGTTCAGCCAGGACACATCAACCTCCACGACGGCCTCCTTCTTCATGACTGACGGCAGGCCTACCCTTTGTATGCTGACGTGCTGAGCCAAACTGCGAGCCAAGATTCGCCTGCAGATACCAAATCGCATCTCTTTAGGGAAGTTCCAAGAGACTCGTAAGCCTCAAATATGCCTATGCATGAGTATGTCTTACGGACCGAAAGCTTCCGAGCATTTACTTGCAGCACAAGAGCATGTGCGGGAAGAACCGAGCAGAACACACCTGCCTGCCAATGTCTCCGTGAGCCAACACCCGGAAACAAAGAAGCACCAAAAGACCGAAACCCTGTCATGGATTCTTTCAGCCGCAGTCTCTCAAGGTCGCCCTTCAGATGTCTGGGAGCTCTACCTGGTTGATGTGCAAGCTGGGTCTTCGGGGGTGCGACGAACCTCCCGAACACGGGTAACCAAACCGGTATGCGCCAGACTCCGAAGATCGAAACTTCCGCACATGTGAGAGAAAATATTCCTCACAATAGCCACCTGCCCGTGCAAAGTCAGATGTGGGCCACACAGCGACCGTGCTTCAGCCAAGCCACCAACATATGCGCGCAAAGCCGCAACAAACAACTCACCTCAACTTGCGCGATGCAACCTCTCTTTAGGGTCCAGCTGACTGGTTTCACTGTTCGAGGGGGGGGGAACAGTAAAGAAGGTCCACCATTAACCAGCTTATCAACGCTGTTCAAGGATTCCGGCCCAAAATCAAGGGGGATCCACTCTGTAGGCGTTCGCCCCTTGTTTGTGGCCAGCCGACATGGTCACACCATCTTCGAAGAAAACGTGTGCCCCTTGAACCGACCTTCCACTCTCGCTTGATTTTTTCTAGCTAACTGGGGGTGTCATTTTTTGTCGGGGACCCCTTTTTGGTTGGTCTTTAAAGGGACGCCAACACAAGACCAACCGCTTTTGGACTTCCGCATGTGACGAAGCCGACCTGCATATTCTTTCGGCCGTTCAAAAGGACCAAGTGGAGCGCCCGGAGGCGCGCGATTGGTGACCGTTCGCGTGTCCCCGTTTCAAAGGCTGCCGCTGGAACACGAGTTGTTTGATTCTTGGATTCCATTGATTGCATGCTGGTTGGTTCGTTGATTGGCTGGTTGATTCACTAATTGATTGCTTGTCCCAAAATTAGGGACACCCTCCAAAATGGTTGGGCTTTTCACGAATTTCCTAGGGGGCACTCCAAACTGGTTAGCTTTCTCTTGGTTACCCTTTAGAAACCAACCAAAAGGGGGCGCCCTTGACAAGCCCCACCCCGGTTTCTGAGGTCTGCACACAGCGCACTGTGCTGCCTGGCAAAGCGTGAAACCTGGTTGCTCCAAGCTCCCCTGAGCAAAAGGTCGATCACGTGTAAGTTCAATGGAAAAGCCATTGGTCCAAGGACCAACGACTGGCCAAGCAATAAACCCCTGCTTGAATGACAAGTGCATGACGGTATGACCTAATTGAGAGGGGTCTCGCATCGAATTCCACGACTGGCGCAGCACTTTGGAGCACTGCGCTCTGGGAACGTTTTCTGGGATGCCGCCTCGGCCGAAAGATTGAAAGGTGGATAGATAGAGAGGCACATAGACACACAGAGGGATAGAGAGATGGATAGATCAATGCGTAGATAGACAGGTAGGTAAATAGACAAGCAGATTGGTTAACCTGGTTGACAAACAAGGTACACTTATACACACCACAGAAAAGTAGACTATATACTGCATACTGGTGGATTGATGTAATTGGCAGCATGGATGACTAGATGCAATTCATGGACCAATGGAGAGACACACAGCTAGCTAACTTGAAAAGAAAGTCAATACATGAACAAACCGGCTGAAAAAGAGATATACGGATGAATAGATGTACACCGGTATAGATATGTACATAAATAGATAGATAGATAGATAGATAGATGGATGGATGGATAGATAGATAGCCAGATAGATAGGATAGATAGGATAGATAGGATAGATAGGTAGGTGTAAGGATTGATAGAGTGCTAGCTATGAGGACAAATGAAATGGGGGTTGTACAAAATTACTTTGCCTGGGAACCTCCCAATCGCCGGCCAACCGCGGTCCAATCGCGCTCCGACAGTTTCCAATCGCGGAGCAACATTGGGCATAGCCGCCTTTGTCGCATCTCGCCGCTGCAACTTGCTCGATCCTATGAGTCCACAAAATCAGATGTGGTAGAAGTGCTGCTCGAGGAAATGGACTCATTGCTGTCTGCAGCAAAGTCTTTCATGTGGCTCCATTTTTCCCTCCGCCTCAGCAACTTGTTGGCCACCATAAACCTGCTTCAGGGTCGTGGCTCGCTCTCTTCGGGGGCGGTCACCAACAAGTCAACCTTTCACCGGCACAAGAAAGAAGTGACAAGAAGGAAGCGGCAAAGCCCGGATGGGCAGGGGCTCACTGGCGGAATTCGTCCAATCGCGGTCCAATCGCGGTCCAATCGCCGTCCAATCGCGGAATTCGTCGGCGAAACTTCGGTTTGCAGCTTCCATCTAGCCCTTGCTAGCAATCAGACTTGGAAAGCACTGTCTGGGCCTGCCAGACAAAGTCAACATCCAGGGTTCTAGAGGGAACTTTCGGGCAAGCCTGCGCAGTCAAAATCAGCGACATGCGTCGGGATGTTTCAGAAAGGATGTTTCAGAAGACCCTAAGGCCCTAGGGTGAGCAAAACAATCGATCAACCCTAAGGCAATGACGTCTCGTTTTCCAGAAAGCAACAAAAAAGTAGAAACAAAGCAGCCCCGGTAGTAAGGTACCGTTACTACAACGCCAGCGATCGTATTGAAACAATGTTCCTGCTGAGACTAGTAGCAGTAATAGCAATCCCACACACTCATCCTGCTGTGGCGGTCTAATAGCCCTGGATGCAGCGCGGTAGCAAGTCAAATGAATACTTTGAGACGTGATAGAAAAATACAACGCAGGCCGAAGCCATCGCAAAACCTCATCTAGGGAAGCAGCGGCGCAAGCAACAACGCAACTGGGATGCTTCAAAGATGTTGTATCCTTTTGCGGGCAGCGCCCGTGAGAAGGTAGAAGCGTGAAATAGGCACTACGCGAATTCCACGCGGCCGCGGGTTCCGCGCGCGCGGGTTCCGCGCCTGTGGGTTCTGCGCGCTCGGGGTCCGCGAGCGAGCAGTCCGCACTCGCGCGTGCGTTTTGCATGCTACTTGGCGTACCACAACAGAATACTCAAGCTGCACCGAGCAACTGCTGCTTACTAAGTCATTACCACAAATTCGTGGCAATAATGAAAGTTCTAGCAAAACCAGACATGCTGGTAGGATCCCTGGCAATTTAAACTATTATACTAAACGAATGGCGGTAGCCGTGATATTAGTAAAAGTAGTACGAGTAGCGGTGGTAGTAGTGGCAGCAGTAGCAGCAGCAGCAGCAGTAGCAGTAGCAGTAGCAGCAGCAGTAGTAATGGAAGTAATAAGAATAGTAGTGTCAGTAGTAGTAGTAGTAGTAGTAGTAGTAGTAGTAGTAGTAGTAGTAGTAGTAGTACTAGTAGTAGTAGTAGTAGCAGGACTCGTAGTAGTACTAGTAGTAGCAGTCGTAGTAGTAGTCGTAGTTGTGGTAGTAGCAGTTAGTAGTAGTAGTAGTAGTAGTAGTAGTAGTAGTAGTAGTAGTAGTAGTAGTAGATGCCAGCCAAGCAACTTCCAAATTCATGATGAATTTGTTTCCCTTTCGCGCTCCAATCGCCGGCCAACCGCGGCTCGAGTTTTCCCAATCGCGCGACTCAACAAGTTACCTCTGTTCATAAGTTTTAGACACGCAATTACGGACGGCCCCCAAATGGAGAAGCAAATAGCGGGCGAAGACAAATGGACAGATTAAAGTATGTCAAGATAGGCAGACAGGCAGATAGGTAGGCAGACAAACTGATGGGACTATGAATGGGCAGATAGGTAGAACAACACGATGCGTAGACAAGTAGATACACGGTCAGCAAAATAGATAGTCAGCAGTGGCAAGTAGATGCATAGGTAGATTGACCGATAGGCAGATAGATGGACAGGTGAGCTTGGGTGAGATGAGATTACATGATAACAACTCGTTAGACAGGTTGACAGACGGCCAGGTACCCAGGCAGAACGATACAAATAAACGGACAGACTGAAGGAAGGACAGAAAGGGAAAAAAAAAGATAAAGAAAGACATAAAGGAATAAAGGAAGACAAACAGAAGGGAAGGACATAAACAGTCAAAGCAAAGAACAAGTAAGGAAAGACGCAAGAACTGAAGAAAACATAGCTAAATGACTAACCAAATTTATATGAGAAATGAATAAAAAGTTCACGTTGCAAAACAACTATGCAAAAAACATCGAGGGAGCAGAAAACACGGAGAGATAGATATAGCTGCATAGACCGATAGATGGAACTGTTGCTAAATAGTCAGCGGGAGTCTTACAGGCAGATAGACAAATAGACGGATACACAAATAGATTCGGAGATAGCACGCAGCCACTACGCGTGTCCAGATTCAGCTTGAAAATAGAAGCCTCTACTGCGCGAAGTGGCTGGCAAATCACAGCGTTTTAGTACGATAGTACGATAGTGCGTCAAGTACACTTTCTTCAGCTCCGGCTCAAAAAGTCTCAACCTGTCAGTGCAAAAGCAGCGAGCGAGGTGCGCTTTTCCAGCTCCGGCACGACACACACATGGATGCTAGTTGAGATGGGTGGGTCGGTAGATCGAGATATGGAAAAAGCTGGATGAACACAGATCGATAGATACAAAGACACATCTCTGTAAGAAGGAAGGTTGTCAACTAAAAAGGTTAACGCGAAGATAGCAAGCCATGACTACGTAGACGGACAAACGGATAGGTAGATAGACAGGCAGGCAGCTAGGAAGACGACACCAATTCCATTCTTAAGGAGGTGGGATATCCCAAGCGGCCCGAAGCGGTTGCCCATGCTTCCGGCCTCCTCGAGTAAGGTTACCGGCGCAAAACGGTCGCCGCTTCCGCCGTCTTCCTGGCCAGGCGCTCACTGGAACCGCTCCGTTGCTTGCACCCTGGTGCTTCCATGACAGACGTTTAAGTCGCCACTAAACAGGCGTCCAACGATTTTGTGGTGGTCCCTAACGCTTCTAGTCCATGATGGGCATTTAAGTTACCACTAAACAGCTTCCAACGATTTGCTGGTCTTTTCACACATCAACCAATCAAAATCGATGTTGTGGTCCATCAGCATCAACCCAGCAACAGGACCTCACTCAACTGTGGCCCTTACGGGGCTGCAACAAAGGAGCTCGCTGCTCGCTTCCAAAAGAAGCAGCTCGAGATTGGTTCATCAGCTTCTTGGAGAACTCCTTGTAGAGAATTCTCAGATGCCCAGTGGCCATGGGAAAAACAAGGCCATCCTTTTTTGGACTTGAAAGGAATCGGAACCCTTCCCCAAAAAAAGTCCAAGAAAAAAGGGGCGAAATCCACTGGGCAACTGGGGAATTCTCAGCTTCACTCCTTGTTCGCCAATGCGGCCAATCCGGCCAACCCACCGGCCCGTCCGCCTCCTCTTCCGCCGCCAGGGGCTCTTCCACCTCGGTTGGCCGAGGCGAAAAGGATGGGCAAGCTCGAGGCCTCTGGGAGGGGACGGAAGTTTTGGGGTAAGCAGTTCACCAACAAAAATCCAATTCACCAACAATGGGGGGAAAATTCACCAAAAAAATCCCCTCCCCCTCAAAATGGGGGGGGGGACATGGTCTAAAAGAAAGTCGCAACATGCAAAATTCCGGTCCGCTGCTGGGGAGAAAGCAAAAACGGGAGAAACAGGGGGGGGCACCACTCTGGATCCGGATCGATCCCATTCTGACCGTTTCGAGGTCATACTCACCTCCAGGTTGGACCCAGAAAGCAAAGGTGGTCACCTTTTAGGCTTGAAAACGGACCAAAGCAGGGCAAGTGAGTTCTGGTTTCCCCTCAAATCGCCGAAAGGTCTTTCAGGTTGATGCGCTTTGGGCAAGTGAGCCTAAGCCCGTCAGCTTGATTCAGCAGAAAGCCTTCAGTACCCCACCCTGCTTTCCACGTCCCAACCTGGTGCCAAGAAAGCTCCAAACCCAGCTTGGTCAACCTGAAAAAAAACCAAACCTAGGACTCAGTGTTCTTTTCTATCGGCAGGTTCCATGTGAATTGGTGGGAGGGCGTTTCTCATTTCAGGCGCCTCCCATGGCAAACGTTGACCCATGGCGGACTTCCAGGCTGAGGCTCTTGCGTTTAAGGCTTTGCACGCCTCCGCCCTGCTGGCCTTGTCCTAGCGACAGCCATAAGCCACTATAGTTCGAAGGGTTGATTCCTTGTCCATTTTTTTCAACCATCGTTCTTTTCGAAAACCGGATTCGTTTCCCTGGGTTTCTGAAGGTTTTCTAGAAAGAAGGATCCCTGGAAAGAATGGGGGACGTAGCACTAGAATAGTGGGTAACAAAGTTCTGTGGACCCCTAAGGGAGGAGGCGGAGGGGGGGGGGGGGAACTCCCTTAATAACGCCTTGGGCTTATCCAGGGATAACTCCCCCCCATACCCCCCCCTAGGGGTCCATGAAATTTGTTAGCACATAGGATAGTTCCTGAGAAATGGGATCTGTAATAACCTTGTGTCTTATCTTTTCTATTTTATTTGGTTTTATTAGTATTGTTCTTCTTCTTTTATTAGTTACTTTAATTGCGTTTGTATTAGAGTTAACTTCTTATTTTCAAGAGCTTTTATTAATTTGTTAAATATGTTTAATTGGGTTTGTTGTTAGGATTCATTCTGGTGCAATTGTATGATGAAAGAAACCCAAAAAAGAAGAATCCCAACATGAAAGATAAAAGCATTTATAAATCTAGTTCTCGTTACTTCACTTTATCTTTTCTCTTTCATTATTTCCCTTTCTTTTTATTTTTATATTTTCATTTGCTTCTTTTATAATTATTTGTCTTTCATAATCGTATGATTCATCTTTATATATTTATTTTACTTTATTTGTATTTCTTATGTCATAATGTGTCTTTTATATTATTTTCCTATCTTTTTATTATTAACCTTTGGATCGGTTCCTTCGTCACCTTTAGAATTCTGGATCTCTTTCCATTTCCTATATTTTTATTATTTATTGTAAACTTTAGAATCCTAACATTGACTCAGCCAAGCAGGGGTCCTCGTGCTGCCTGGCTGTTGTTGCTGACGTGCTGTTTGGACAAACAGGTGTCGTAAGTGCCATCTTTGTTCAGCTACCATGATCACAAAGAACACCTTTGCATGAGGCCCTGTTTCGAGCTTGCTTGTTCTTAGTTTCTTCGTGGGGAGTGCGCAGAATACCAGCTTCCAACAACCCCAAACCCCAACTGTGGTTGGAAAACGGACGTTGCCTTGTGCCCTACTAGGAGCAGGTAAGATTATCGGGGAAACGTCAAGTAATTACCTGTGAAGCTCGCAAAGGCTGGTGCCCTTCTGGCAAAGCAAACATGTCTTGAGCGTGCCTTGTAAAAGTCTGGGCCCCTTGAGGAAAACCAAAGGACCACCAAGTCAAGTGATCGAACAGAGTTTCGCCCAGCGGTCCACAAATTCAGGAAGGAGCCAATCATCCTGTAGACTCAACAGCAAGGCTCGGCCGTCGTCTTTGAAATGGAAACCACCCCCAAATAATAAAATGTTGAGCACCCCTCGAACATGTGAGCACCTTAAAAAATTGACATAAAACCCAGTCGACACGCAAACTCTCTCAGCGCATGTCCAGACCTTTTCTCTTTGCTACTTCATCACAGGCCCAGCTTGGTGGCCGATGATAAACCAGCTGCCACCTCAGGCGGGCACTTTTTACTTGGTGAACAAAGAAGCCCAGTAAAGGAGTTGTTTTGTTTCTCCTCGTATGCACATGGTCAAAAATACATTTGCATACAAGAACAACTCAGTCCAGCTGGTAAGAGTCAGTGAAGAATTCGATGCCAGCCACTAAAATGACCAGCGAAAGCTTCGTGTGTTTTGTTTCCAAGCCCCTTAGCACGGATGACGTTTCCCCCAAAGCCATGGTAGCAAGGTCAAGTTCAAGAGAAGGGCCGCTTGAAACGCGAAAGAAAATCAGAAAAAAGAAAAAAAAGAAAAGAAACAAAACGAGCGAGACTTCTTGGGCGACCCGAAATGGATTCTAGAAAGCTGCGCGCATGCCTGGTGCAAGCTGAATTTGGCCCAACACCTCTGCGCCATGGGCAATTTCCCACAACCCCCAGGCAAACACACCCTCTAATCTTGGCTGGAATTAGGACCCCAGCAAAAAAATATATTTTTGCCTGGTGAGTGGAAAACAAAGGGAACCCCAAAAAAGCAAAAATGCAAAAAGGGGAGCTAATTCTGGGGAAGTAATGAGCCGTTTGCATGTCCCTCCCCAAGAGTTCAAGAGCCTAGGGTCAGTGGACCCGCGGGAAGAACATGCTGCTAGGCTGCGACTTTGGAATGACACGCGAGCCAGGCAAAGGCTCGAGTTTGCCAGGATGGAAGCCAGCACAGAGGAGCATGCAGTGAGCTGTAGAATTCCACCGGCAACAAAATGGATAAAACCACACTCAACCAGGAAGTGTTCAGTTTCCCTCTAGGCGGTTTGGAGTTTGGGTAGCTTGCCATTTTCCTCTACAAGAACCAGAGGTTCAAACCCTCAGTCCCCACCAATCCAAACCAGCGAGGGGTACCTGAACCGACCTAAACCTAACTTTGCTGAAGCCCACTGGAACAAATAAACATGTCCCTTTGAAGCCAACCGGAAAACCTTGCAACCCGCTGGGAAAGCACTGGAAATCTCTAGAAAAATGGAACATCTTCTTAAAAAAAGGGAACTGAAAATCACTAGAAAAATGGAACATATTCCTAAGCAAACGGAAACCAACAGAGGCGCGGCTCTCTAAACCGAGCCGCTGCTGCTCCGGGCAAAGGTGTTGGTCGCCTCGTGAAGGCCCCCGTTGCTCGTCTCCTCAAGAGCGAGCGGTTGGTTTGCAGGGCTTGCAGGTCATGCTTGGCCATAGGAGGGTTCCAAACAACGGCCGCTTCTTTTTCTTGGGGGGGTGCATGCCGAGCCGCGGCGGGCTTCACTTTCACGTCAAACCGGAGAGTGCGCGCAGGTTTCACTTTCGGTATCGCCCCAGGTTTCACCAGCAAGGGATCAACAAAAGCAGCCTTGAGGTGATCAGCATGTGTGTCTTTTTGAGGCTCTGTACGCTTTTGTGGGTAAAGGAAAAAACGTCTTCAGGGGTTCCCAAAAGGAGATTCCTGCCAACAACGGCCTTTTTGTTCCCCCTTTTTTTTTTGCGGGGGTGGGGGTAAGTGGTGCATGGGCTTGCGCTATGTTCTCTTCAACGCCTGCCGTCGGGGTCCATCAAAGTGACACCCCAACAATGCCCACATGGTGGCTTGGGTGAAGACCTCAAAGTGCAACCGCGTTTTTCGGGACCCAAAAGATGACAAGAAACAAATCAACCCGGGCTCGTCCTCTGCGGTCGTCCTCTGGGGAAATGAGTCGTGAGTTGTGAGTCCTTGAGTTCTCTTTTCCCGAGTGGCCAAAGGACTCCGAACTTGCTATTGACTTGGTTGCTTTTCACCCCTCTGCAAGGAGTGGTCAACCTTGTGTGGGTCCAAGCCGGGAATCCTCGGTTCAACCAAAAGTGTCAGTCCAACCCCAGTGCAAAAAGCACATCGGACTCTTTTAGTAAGAACTTATCAAACAACAGAAGGGGACTCCAGGCTTGCTATATACCAAAACGGTCCAAACCCACCAACAAGTTTCGTTGAAAAGGGAGCCATGCAATGGGCCAAATCGGCAAATCGGAGCCAGCCTTGCCTCCTTACACACCACCACGGCCATATCCTCCGAGGTCACCAGAACCTGCGGATCGATCCAATCCGCCCCTGTAAGAGACAAGCTGCTAGCAACGGATGCAGGAAAACATGCGAAAACCCAAAGGAACATGAAGGAACATATTTCGGAAGGACATGAGGGACAAGTTTCCGGGAAAATGAAGGAAACCACCCAAGGCCAAAGAGTTGAAAAGGCCAACGTCTGGCGATGACACCTCCTCCTGGGAGATGGTGATGGTCGGCAAGGTGGGGCTCAGGAAGATCCGGTTGAAGCCTCGCAATCAAAAACGGGACGGAAAAAATGGCTGTGGTGGTCAAAACCGTTTTGGGGTTCCAACGTGCAAAATGCGAGGGAAAGTTCAAAGTCATCTACCGGGAACCCGGGATGCATCTCTGTCTTTGCCGTTGCGTCTAGAGGGTCTTGACTCAGCAACGAAAAAGGCGCCCACCGATCTTCAGGGGCACCGACAACATACTAGGACAACCCGGGCAGACATCCCGGGATGTCTGCCATCACCCGGCTGGGTTTCAGAGGGTTCCCGTTTTGAAAGTTGACGGCGCAATTCCTTGATGGAATTGAGACATCTACTACTTCCAATTCGGGGTGAAAGCGCCCGCAAACGACTCCGACGGCGTGGCGAGCGACTGTCTCAAACCAGAAAGCTGCCTGACTGGCCATACGAACCTTCAATCAAGCATGCTTGAATTTGTCTCCCCAATCTCGAGAAACATCCAAAGGCCAGTACCCCCCACCAACCGCTTTTGCCATGTCCAAAAATCCCAAGTAGGCATGCATAAAACAAAAAATCCTTTCCCTACTACTTGTTTGACGTTATCTTTTCTTGTTTGCCTCCTTATCGTTTTACAGGACTTGGGGACACCTCACCCCACCCTGACTCAACTGCAATTGGGGGGTTATTTATACAATCCCAAGTACTCTCCAAATTGCTGCGCTTGGTGCCCCATGCGCTCTTGCTCCAAGAAGCTGGTCAGGATGTCGTTGCGGCCCTCCAGACGGGAGCTGTCCGGATGGGTGCAGGTACACATCATCTTGAAGGATTCGTCCTCTCGGGGTTTTTGCTCGAGGCCTCAAGCCTCCGGCTCGTGATGGCTGGGGTCTGGTGGAAACTGGGCTTCCCTCAGATCCCTAGTGGGTTAAATGGAAACCCCTCAGTGACTCAGATCCCCCGCTAAATGAAGAGAACTTTTAGTGGCTTAAATTCGGAAACTGCCACTAAGCACTAAACACCAAAAGGCTGAGAAGCTAAGGAACCGGATGGCTGCGAGCCACCACCATTGGAACAGAAGCTTCTCTCAGATGCCCAGTGGATTTCCATGGGGAAAAAAAGCGCCTCCTTCTTTGAAGTTGACATATTTTTGAAATCGGAGCCCTTCCCAAAGGAAAGCACAAAAGGGCTAGCACTGGGCAACTGGGCAACCTCGTCAAATCACCGAATCTCTCCCACGCCTCCAACGAAAGGAAGCCGACCATGGCCATTCAATGAACCCAGCCACATTCGGCCAAACCGAGGACCCCAAAAAACGGATTCGGGGAAAAGCGAGACCTTTTTTGCTCTGAAAAGTTCTTGAATGGTAAGCAGCGTCAGTCACGAAAAGCGACATGCATAGCTCCTGGTTCTGAAAGAAGAGCAATGGCCCCCATTGGTTCACGTTGCAGCCCCACAAGCTGCTCATCTTCTCCAGATCCTTTCCATTGAACGCCTCATAGAATGCCTGCGGCATGTTAACTCCGATCTCCATGGCTGAGACAACTGGGTACATTGATGCCACGCACTCGCAAACCCCGATTTTCAGCCACTCAAAACACACCTCCCCTCAAGAAAACTCATATCTTGGCTCCCCAACGCTGTGCTTGGTTGTGGAAATTGCTCAACTTCTGTCACGCCACCGGCTCTTCCCAATGACTTGTTCACACACACACACACACACACAGAGGTCCAGTGAAAAAAGAAACCGGATTCCCGCCGATGCTCAGGTCCAGCTAAAGGAAGCTCACATTCACAGGCTCGGCGGAAGCAAAAAACCGGCTGATCACTGGAGGGTGAACTGGGTTTCTTTGGTTTGGGGGGGGGGCGGGGGGGGGGGGGGTAAAGCTAGGGGTAATCATTTGTCGCCTTTGTGTTTTGATTGTTCGCTTCTGAGACTTGCCATTTCGCACGCGCCTTGCTGCTCACGCATCGCTACAAATCGAGAGCCCAAGTCCCAGACCCGTGGCCATAGGAAAGCTCTTCATGGCGCTTGATGTCAAAGGGGCAATCCCCCCCGAAGAAAAACAAATCGAGCATCATGTATTAAACAAGGATCTAAAACCTGCACTTCGGTCATGGCGATGTTCGCCATCTCTGAAATGCAAGCCGATCAAAAACAAAGGCAAAGGGCACTACATGGCACTACTCTAGGGGAAGATTCCTCTTTTTTCCAGGGATCTGAATCTTTTCAGCAAACCATCAGAAAAAGAAAAAAAACAACTGGAAGCAGCGATCGGTTTTTAGAGAAAAGAACGAGGGTTGAAAGAATGCAAAAGGAATAAAAACCCAAGCCCACAAAACTAGGCTGGAAATAGGACCCCTGCAAAAATATATTTGTTTGCCTGGTTAGTGGAAAAAAAAAGGGGACCCCACAAAAGCAAAACAACAAAAAGGGGAGCTGATTCTGGCTCAGAAAAGGCCCCCCCGAAAGAAAAACGGAGCACTACTGAAGGTCTCGGAGACGCAGCCAGCCACTTGGTGCAAAAAGTTTCGGCTCGCCGACTTGCCGACCTGGTTCGCTGCCAACGCGCAGTCTACCGCTGTCGCCAACCTACCCGCAGGGTCCTGGCCATGTGGAAAATGACCCTTTCTGTCATACTGTGGGTGGACGAAATCCTGCACCACTTTGAGTCCATGAGAAACCAATGTTTGCTGGTATTTACAGGCTGTGACAGGGGAATCATCAGTCCGGGGTTTCTTAGGTGCAGGATTTCGTGCATCCACAGTAGGGATGGCCAAAATGCTGCACTGAAGTGTTTTGTTTATGCCAGAAATCGTCCATCCCCACTGGTGCTGGAAGTTGTGAGGGGGACTTGTTTGAAATGGAAAGTGGCCCAAACCCCCGAGGTCAACGGAACCAACTTCTTGGGATGGCTTTCGAAAGGGGAACCTAAGGCAAAACACCAGTATTGGGGATCTTGCTGTTCAGCTCAGTTGCCCAAAGGACATGCGAATTTTCGGTTAATCTGTTGGAACCTTTGCTACAAATGGACCAAGATGGGGTAAGTAGAATGTAACGAAAGGCCACACAAACAGACACAGACACACAGACACATAAACACAAACACACACACACACAAACACATACGGCCACACACACACACATGCACGCACGCACGCACACTAATTTCGCAACCACACCTGACCATCGAGGAGGGCTTGCCACCTCAAACGCAGCGCTTGCGCGCGCAGGCGCCCCACCTCGCTATCCATACCTCGCACTGTTTTTTTGGGGGCCCAGATGTGGGAGTTTCTCAAATCTTGGTTGCTTACTGCTGCCCTGCTACAAGTTTAACTTTTAGTGGTTTAATACGGAAAACCCATTCGTTGGCCAAAAGTTAAAGTCCTAACATCCAAGCAAAATGCACCAAAGAAATGGTCGACCCCTTTTTGGTTGGTATTTAATGGGAAACCAAAGGGGTACCCTTTTTGGAGCGATGCTGAAGGGAAACAACAAGGAAATCATCTGTTTTGCGGGCTCTCCTATTTTAAGACACACCCAAAGGGAAACCGAAGCCTATGTTGGTTCAGTTTTGGCCACCCGGGGATCAGAAGATTCGGACCATGCGTCCATGCTTCGGGCTTGAAACCAAAGAACAATTTCTGCGCGTCGCACGCGTTCCACAAGGACAGCTTTTGGGAGAACGCTTGGGAAAAGGCAGCCGTTGGAGGGTGCTGGTATTGATTGGGTGGCAAACAACAAAAGAGAATCGTCTGTTCGAGGGCCCCTCTTGGACAAACTCTCTCCTGATAGGGGCGCCGTCTGGGGCGGTAACAAACGGAAGTGCACCTATCGTTGAGGAGGGTTCTCGACAAGCTGGTAAACAAACAAACCCTCCGCCCAAAGCAACCACGACGTCATGCCCCAAGGGCCGCAGCGGACTATGAGTGTCTGTTGCAAGGCAGCTACTCAGCCCAGCATTGAAAAGCAACCTGATGAGTGGGTTGATGGCCTTCCAACCCTTGGTATGGTAGAAATAAACAGTCTTTTTGCAACCCACTACGAACCCAAAAAATAAAGATGCCAACAACGGTGAAGTGGCTTACAAATCAACTCCGAGCGGCCGGTCTCGAGTTGCTGCAGCAGACTGCCTGAAGTGAGTGAAGTCTGAGTCATAGGGGCCTAGACCCAAACTTAAAGGGAGAGGAACCTGACGCAAAGAAGCCAGCATTGAGTGGCAGGCTATGCTGGAACGCCTGCTACCCCAACGCTCACGCCGTGCATGCCGAGCAAAGGCGTGCCGAAACAGGTCAGGACCTGTCGGTCTGCCGAGCATAGGCGTAAAAACTCCAACAGCGTTTCAGTCCCTGAGATTGTCATTCTTTCGGGGAGGCGGGAAACAAGAGCAAAACGAGCAAAACTACAATACACCGGCTGTGCACTGTGCAAGGTTGCTGCCGTTTCTGTTGCACCAGGTTTCTGTGCATAGGTGGCCTTTTGGAGAAATAGATGGCCCTGGTAGATGGAATAAACCCCATCTAAACCAGGGCCCTCTAGATTTTAAGCAAACCATCCAAAAAGGACACCTATGTTTCTGTATATTACACAACTATTCTTTTGGGGAGGCGGAACCAGTGACTTGGTACACCAGTGCAAAGGAGCCCCTGTCGCACTGGCTTTTCGCTCCAGGCTCCAAGTACCGCCGCAAATTTGGAGTACCCTCCCGCCTAACATGGAAGTGCACAAACCCGTGTAGAAAGTGGGTTGTAAGGGCACTTCCATATTAGGACCCCGGCAAAAAATATATATATTTGTTTTACCTGGTTAGTGGAAAACAAAGGGAACCCCAAAAAAGCAAACCAATAAAAAGGGGAACTAATTCTGGGGAAGGTTAGTTGGTGGGAGGGTACTTCTGCGGACCCTCTGGGGCTTGATTGAATTCAGCTAGCAACGTAGTGATCATATCTACCTCAGCTTTTGCACCAACCTTTTTGTGTTTGAAGAAAACGACAACATGTTTGGGTCATATATTTGGACAACCTCGAGTTGCAAAACAAGTTCAAAAGCAGGGCTGTGAGGAATGACCACTTCTACGAATCAACAAAAAGGGCCTCCCAAAGACCAATCCCCCATAGAAAGAGAGGACTCCCTTGTATCGCAGAAGTGGGGATAAACCCCTTGATCCCAAAAAAGAGATCCCCAAGTTCACCCAGCCCCCGCCTATTGCCTCCTTCGTCTCCGCCAGGGCGTCCTCATCGCCCGCGTGCCGTGCAACCCACCGGCGCGGCGGGTGCTTTGTGACAGACCGCAGGGAGCTCTGCCACAGGAAGCTCCTCAGACATCTGGGTGCGCATAGGTGTCCTTTTACAGGGAATAGATGGCCCTGGTAGATGATTAAACCTCCAGGTAAACCAGGAATCGCCATCTATTTTTCTGGCAAAACAACCAAAAAGGGCACCTATGTGGGTGCGTCTGCTTTTTGGGGGGCCTTTTGGCTGGCTTTAAAGGGAAAGCGGAAGGACACCCACAATTTGGAGGCTGCGCACAAAGTGAACCGCGTGCCTTAAGGCGAAGGCAAGCAACTTCCCGACAAACTGGAGGACCCCAACCCTCGGTTTTTGAATAGCAAGGGCTTCAAGCGAATGTGCATCTATACATAGTCTGATCTCTGAAATGTCCAGTAGGAGGTATCAGTGCATGTCTAATAAATATGTATGCATACATCTATATCTATACGAATGCATGCGCATACGCACATATGCATGCATGGAGTTTTGTTCCCATGTCTGTATGTACATATATATATATATATATGTATGTATGTATGCAAGTATGTATGTATGTATGTATGTATGCATACATATAAATATGGTATGTATGTATGCATGCATACATATATATATATATATATATATATACACCTGTGTTTGTGTATTTACAGACACATGTATGTATATATATATATATATATATGTGTGTGTGTGTGTGTGTGTGTGGGCGTGTGCATGTGCATCGGTTCAGGGCCTGGCCATTCCGAATCCCGTGCCGCGCCGCGATGCGCCATACCGAAGCAGCAGCCCCAGGCAAAGCGCAGCTGCCGCGCGGCGCGGAGACGCGCAACCCATGGCGCGGGGGGCGCCGAGGGGCGCGGGGGCGCCGTCGGTTTGCTGCGGCGTTGCCTTAAAAGCGACCTGATGGCCTGGCTCGGTTGCTTGCTGCTTGCTCCCCTGCCAAAAGTTTAACCTTTAGTGGTTGAATGGAAAACCAATTCGTTGGAAAAAGTTATAAAGTCCTAACATCCAAGCAAAAATGCACCAAAGAGTGCATTGATGGACGGACACGATTGGCAAAACTTCGAACTTTTTGGTTGCCGCCTTTCGATGATCTTCTCCCCCCAAAAAATCAAGTCCAGGAACTCAGGAGTGAGTAAAAGAAAAGGCAGTTAAGGCAACGATCCTGGGTCTGCAAAGTGGCAGCCTTCTGGAAAGGGACGTGAGCAGAACTCGTTTTGCAATGTGCAAGATAACTCTTGCGCACTGAACTTTGAGTAAGACCTGAGGCCTTCGGAACGCGGGCGTGGGGCCTTTCAGTTCAAACAAAGGCTTCTTGATTCGAAGGCTTGGTGCTGGGGTCTCGAGGTGTAGCCGGGGGATGAGATAGACATGTTGGCATTGGCTGCAAGGAGGTGGGCCTGAGCAAAACATGACAGAGCTGCGAAGCTTGGCATTGAACATACCCGCCTCTCCTTTGGCACAATGTCGTCCCGCAGCCGGTGTGTTATGTGACCCACGCCGCACTGTATTTGGTGTTGTCCATGTCAGCAGTGCTGAAAGCAAACCTAGGTGTGCGCTTTCTGCTCCAAAAGCTACTCGCTGCTTGACCCACTCTGACTGCGGGTTACGTTGCATAGCAAACTCCCCACGGCTAAAGGCCAACGCACTGGAATTGGAAATGGATCTGTTCCACAGAGAGGGCGGGCTAGCCGTATTAGTCCCAACTGCGACAAACACTATATACTGCTGCTCACCCCAGGCCAAACATGGCCAAGCAGCCCATGGCGAAGACCAAGCCACCCTCAACACACCAGAACAAAACCAAACAAACTGGTCGATCGCACTGCAGACATGAGTTCTAGGACGTTTGGCCCACTTGACAAGCTGCTTCTGACCCTGGTAGTCATAATCAATTTAATTGAGCCCCGCCTGGCCAGTGGCACTTTTCGATATTCAGCGGGCTGAAAGACGCAACATAGTCCAGCAGTTGCCGCGCACACAAGGTACAAATGCCAACGCTCATTGTAGAAACCAAGCCACAAAGTAAACAACCATGGTCTCAAGCCAAGTGTGCAAGCAAAGCTTGTTCAAACGTCTTTCAGCGGTTGGCTCCTTCTCTTCCAACTGCAGCTGCGCTGCAAACACCCCCCCCCCCGGAACCTTTATCTTAGAATCCGGCATGCTTGGGTATGTGCCGGGCCATTCGTGGAACAGCTGCAAAACGGGACCCGGGGCAAACAACAATCGATACCAAATGGTTATGACAACCACGAAAGGCGAAATGCAATATACGATAAATGGATTCTCCTTTTTCAGGCGCCCCAAAAAATTGTTGGATTCCTTTTGGCTTCCCTTGAGGTAGCAGGAGCTGGTTAAGCCGAGCTTTGTGGGCAAAAAACCAACCAAAAAGGATTGCCCTCAAAAGCAAACAAACCCAACTCAGTTGCCAAAACCAGTCCTTCCAGGCAGTGGCTGCTTCGGGCAAGGGCCGGCAGCTATTCAGGCTGCACCTGCCACAGGATCGCCCACACTCGCCTGCGATTGAGTGGATTGGCCCAATTTAACTTCTCAAAATGGGTTTGTCTCAAAATAGGGGGACCTGGAAAATGTTGTTTTACTTCTAGTTTCCCTTTGAAAACCAACGTTAAACGAGGGTACTTCCTCACTTTGGCCAAGAATGGTTTCCCGAAGGCCCACTAACCTGCAGAGGGAGAATTGTCTTCCACCGCCCTGTGAGGCTCCATGAGTAGTGTACTGGAGGGTACTTCCAGTTGCCACTGAAATGGCTCGAGGTTGGCGCCGTACATTCTGACTCCGGCGCGGCTGCTCGAATGAGTGGCAGCAGATGGGCGATTGATCGCAGCACACGGTTCTCAAATTCGAAGCCTGAGCTCACTCCCTGAGTTGCTGGAAACAAAACTTTTTGAAAAGACTGTCACGTTGGTGTCCAGGGTGTTTGTTTGGACGTGCGTGCAGCTTCGCATGCGTGCGAGGGACAGCGATGGACAGCACGGCATCCTTCTGCCCAGCCCTTTGCAACATCACAAGCTTGTTGTAAAGCAGCAGGAGCGAGACTAGCACAACTCTATTGTTTGATATCGCCGCTTCGTTTCAACCTTCGTTCTTTTCAAAAACCGATCGCTGTTTCCAACCTGGGTTTTTTAAGATGGTTGCCTGAAAAGATTCGGATCCCTGACATGGAAGCTTCCCCCAGCACAACAATGAGACAATGCCTCAGAACCTTCTCGTCAGAACGGTGCTTGCTGGCTTCCCCTTGCCCGCTGAAACCGGCTAAGCCAAAAATCCATCGCTTTGGATGAAACCATGTGCTTCTCCCAAGGCTCTCCCCTGCGTCGCCGAAGTCCCATCCATGCCCTGGAGAGATTCACCCCATTCCCTTTCGAGGAACGAAGCAGCGCTTGCCCTCAGCTCCCTAACGGCTCCCTTCCAACCACCAGCTAAGCTTCCCTCCAATTGGTGCTTTGGATAAGTGGTTTCGTGGTTAAGAAGGGGTTTCCCATTTACCCTCAACAAAAGCCAGGCGTCAAATCCAAATCCAAACCACGAATCCAAACCACCAAGTAAGGGATACCTGAAGCTAGTGACACATTCGTTTCGCACATTTCTCCTCTCCGACCGGGGCTCGCTCTCGCCTCAGCAGGGACCCGCACACCACCAGAGCCTCTGCGGATGCGCGGCCCAGGTTGGGGCACACGTCCAGCCTCAGCGGAGGCTGGGAACCACGGGACCAGTTTTGATACAGCCGAGGGTCTTTTTGAAGCTATGCGGTGTGGGGGTTTGTTGAGATGTGCCTGTTTAAAAAGCAATGGCCCAAGGTTCTTTGAGGAAAGACGGTTTTGGGGCTTCAATTGAAAGGACAAACTAAAACGCCAACCACAGAAAGGAAACAGCAAGTCCGGATTTACCCCAGACCAAACTAAACAAAAAAGGTGTTGTTCAAGCCCTTCTAAAACTTCAGCACCCTATCCAAACAGATCAGGAGATCGGAAGTCTGTGCTTCTGGGCATGCGGGGCCAGTCGGCAGTCGTGGCTGGAGGCTTCAGCTTTTACTTTCAATCGGACTTGTCACTAAATTTCCCCAAAATCGAAAGTCGATCAACTTACCGGTGGCTTCCACTTTTGAAGGCTCCAAAAATGGAAATGGGTGTGGGTCAAAATGAATCCACCAGGAATTGGCCAGCGCCATTTTGGGGTTACCCTATTTTTGACCCGCCAAATGCCACGGAAGGAATCCCATGTCCAACTCGATTTCCCCAAGTCTGGGAATGATGTAACCCCCCTCAAATGTCATTTTTTTAATAGCCCCCCTCGTATGGCAAATGTTGTTGTTTTTCTTCATAATTAAGAACGTTAGAAACAAATGAAAACTAAAAATATAAAATTGAAGAAACAAATCTTCGACCCAAGGCTTCGGCTGTAGGGAGCGCAGTCGGGGCCCATCGCCGGCCACCTGGCCATAAGCCAACCCCATCCCCAGTTGCGCCAACCCGGGGGTCCCAGACCGTGGAGACCGGACCTCAAGTCCATTGGCTGCCGGAACGACCACTCTGCAAAAAGTGAGACACGTTTTATGTTGAACTTGTGGGTCCAATATGGAAAATCCAAACTATTTCCTTGGTTGCTGTTGACCCCCTGCAAAAAGTTTAACTTCTTGGCGGTTTAGTGGAAGAAAACACCTGTATTTCCCAAACAAGTTAAAGTCCAAAGATCCAACCCAATAGCAGCCAAGTCTCAACCAAAAAGTTAAACCGGTCTCCATTTCCAATTGCACCGGAGCAAAAGTAGATTGCACAAATCATGGTAGATGTGGATAAGCAAAGGTTTCGACTAAAGCAACATGATGGAATCATGCCATGCAGTAGCTTTCCGTAGGGGGTCTCTTTTCACAATCCCATGGCTCTCTTGCGAGGCTACGAATCAAACACACGTGGTATTTCTCAGAATGTGGTTCGGTCCCCTAAAAAAGTGGGTTTGTCTTTTTGCAGGGAGGCTCCGTTTGGTTTTCAAGGCAAGGCAAGCGAATCTGACCATGTTGCGCAGCCCCTAATTTTAAGACAAATCCGTGCAAGTGGGATTGACAATGGTGCCCTAGAAATGTGTGTTCACCCTCCCTTAAGAATTGGAATCGTGGTTACGTATTCATTGTTGTAATCCATTTTCCCTTTTAGGGGACAGTGCAAGGTGCCCTTCCTCCCACCAACATGGCGCCTGTAGAAGGGCACCTGGAAGATCAGTTGTTTTGGCTTTTGGCCCTGTGAGGTGCCATGGCAACGTGGCAGAGAGGGTAAACTGGGCTGATCCCTTTGGTGGACAAGAAATACGTGGTTGGACCTATGTCCATCGCTGAGAGTGCTCCCAATGATAATTCATTGCCTTTTGAGTTCCCCTTCTTCTTTCTGCTAGTTCAGAGGGAGACCTTAAATCTGCTGTTAACCTGAAATGGTTGATCGACCCTTAAATGGGGATCCCACGTAGCCACCAAGCGCTCGAGCAAACCCAACACCCACCCAAGAGCCTTCGAAGGGCCTTGGGTGATGGATGTTCGAAAAACCAGCAGCTTGGCGGCAAGCGAACGTGTCACGGCTAGGAACTCTCCAGGTTTTATTGTCTGTTTGGCAGCCTCATGACTCTTGGGCTTCCAAAAAAGACACAGTCGTTGGGATTCAGGCCGTCAAGCATCAACTTCACACCCAACAGCGGTCTGGGTCTATGTTCCCCAGGGCTTTTGCGGGCTTCATGCCCTGGCTGCCTTGACCGAAACTCTGGGAGCTAAAAGACCAACAAAGAAGATTCTGGGCTGTTTATTACCCAGTTGCCAGAACTGGGGCACC